CTCCCCTGTTCAGGATGCTGGGAATGTACACTGCTCTGATGGAGAGCAGGTTTTTGTGTGCCCAACACAACAGCTGTTTCACGATGCATAACAGTTAGGCTGAGCGCACACCTCCCTAACGGTTTATGTAAGCTGCTGTCACTTTGTTGTCTGTGTGGATCAGAACATGCTGATCCCGCAGCAGGGGGGCAACATGCTGAGTCACGTTTCAGTCCGTGAAAACATTCTAGCACATTTATGTGAAGCGACATGTGGTCCAGCCACTGTGCTCCCACTGCCTGGGACAGACACATTCCTCCCAGCTTGACAGGAACGCGTCTGTGAAAACTAAGACATGTGATGTAGGCCTGCTGATGGGAACTCCCTCTGACAGAATGAGGGGGTTTCCCCAGTGATTCAGATCGGTTCTCACGGAGTGGGGCACAAAGATAATCCGCCTCTTCTGGCGCACAGGATCTATGCGCAGGTGGGCGAACCATCTCTGAAGGCATCTCATGTGAAGTAGGCCCAGCGGAACCACGATGTGGGCCACTGACATCGTCCCAGGCATTGCATGACAGGCAGACTATCACTATGCTACAGGGTTTGACACGGTGGAGCTGAGCTGATAGAGCTTCGGCTCTCGGCTGTGATAAATGGGCTCTCATTGTAGTTGAGTTTAGCTCCACTTCCAGATAAACAATCATCTGGGACAGACAAACTGAACGTTTTCCCAGTTTATAGAAAAACCCAGGTTTAGCAGGTGTAACACTAGCGTTTTGGTCTGTGCGACTGCTTTCTAACTGGACCGAGCTAATAAGAGCAGATCGTCCAGATAAATAGAATTCTCATTCCTGCCATGTGTAACGGCTGCAGAGCCGTCTCCATGCATTTCGAAAACGTGCGTGGGGTGTTTCAGAATGATGGAAATGTGAAAATATGCGCTCTTCAGATCTATGGAGGTGAAAACCAGTCGTTCTGGTGAATTTCTCCAGCAGAGGTTTGTCAGCATGTGGAATTGTCTCCCCATGATCGAATTGCTGAACATGAACAGGTCGAGAATGGGTCTCATCCCTCCCATTTTTTATCAGAACCAGGAAGTAGTGGGAGGAAAAAAAGCCCATATTTTCCTCTCCATTGGGAACTCTGGAAATCACGTTTTTCATCAGAAATTCCTGAACTTCTGACTGGAGAGACGAGCTCTGTTCTGGAGAAGACAGAACCATCTCTATAACCCTCTCAATGGTGGGGATTGAGCTGCGAACTGCAGCGTGTGACCCCTGCTGATCAGACGGTCCATCCATCTGTCCAGGGAACACACTCGCTGCCACTCTGAGTAATGCTCGGAGAGTGGGCACGCATATGTGTTGTGTCATGTTTCTCATGAACATCAACAAGACTAAAAAGCCTTACTGCCATCACTCACTCCGGAGATTCTCTGGGAGGAACCCAAGGGGGGCTCAGACAGAAAAAAGGCCGTATGTGTGCCTCTGTGCTGAGCCCAGGCTGCGGTCTCACATTAGAGCTGAGGTGAGCCGGCGCGCACTGAGAGGAGGCATGAGCGCTTTCTGAGTGAGACGCCGTTTCGGTGGAGGCTGCAGCTGTCGTGGAGAAACACGTTTACTCCTGTCACTGTGAGTGGGCAGAAAACAGCAGAAATTAAAAATGGGCTCTGGCTGAAAAATGAGGGATTTTACCAGACTTGGTCTGCTGAAAAAAACATAATTTTAGCTGACGTGGCAGACGAGTGTTTTGTGATATTTACTGAACTGTAGTGCCATTTAAAATGCTCCAAAAAAGTTCAATCTGGTCCTCTGGACATTCAAAAAAGCAAAAAACAAAACAAAGCAAAAAAATCTAGAAACGTTTCGTCTCTCATCCAAGAGACTTCCTCAGTCTGAGGTGCTGTTTTCAGCTCAGTCTCCTAAATAGCACCTTCTCAGAGTGGATCAACCAGTTTGCTGCTGACAACCAAAACCAGCTGATCACATGCTCAAGAAGGACCATCAGCCTAACAATGGGTCATTAGCACACTGATGGTTGTTTACTACTCACAGAGGGCTGAGTGATACTAGCAATCACAACATTGTAAGAGGGGGACAGTTGAACCCGGAGGCCTCCACCCCTGTTTAATGATGGACAATTTATTTTCACAAAGATGGCCTCCTTTACTCCTCTCTCAAACCATCGTTCCTCTCTGTCCAGGATGTGCACATCTTCATCCTTGAAAGAGTGACCGCTGGCCTGGAGATGAGTGTAGACCGCAGAATCCTGGCCTGATGATGTTGATCTTCTGTGCTGGGCCATCCTTTTGGCCAGTGGCTGTTTAGTTTCCCCGATGTAAGACTGATCACAGCCCTCCTGACACTGAACAGCATACACAACATTACTCTGTTTGTGCCGGGGGACTGGATCTTTGGGATGAACCAGTCTTTGCCGTAATGTATTTTGGGGTTTAAAAGCCACTGGGACGTTATGTTTAGAAATTAAACGTCTCAGTTTTCCTCAAGGATCTGTTACCTGGTGGAGGGGGCCGGCGGAGGAGCAGAGTATGAAGTTGCTGCCGCAGCTGTGGGGCACCCGCCTCTGCTGCTGTTGCTGGCCAAGGCGGTCTCTCCAGCGGCCGGAGGGGTGGGAGGAGGACTGTGACGTCACCAGATGGTGTACAGTCTCTGAGGCCTCCTCGGCCCTCTGCGATTTCTCAAGGATTGTCCTAAAGTTGGCCCCGAACAGCACCTCTGGGGTGATGAGGCCCTCCAGCAGGTCTTTCTGCAGCCTCTCGGACAAGGATAGCGAGAGGCGGAGCCAGGTGGTCCTCTGGATCATGGTCATCCGAGTGGCGATGCGGGACAGGTAGACCGCAGAGGTGGTGCATATGTTTAAGATGATGTCAGCAACTTTACAGAGAGAGCTATTTGTCTCCTTCAGCAAGTCTGCTTCCTCCGGCCTCTTTGAGATGCTGTAGGCCAGCAGACCGATGTTGTTATTCGCCGCGACCGCCTGGGATGTGCACTGGTGAGCTCGGCTGGAGAGCTTTGTCACCCTCTGGTCATGCTTTCCTGGAGGGATAGGTTGCCAGTCCATCCTGGAAGCTTTTGCCCCAAGTGCCTCCGCCAGGCTTGGCTCCAGGGGGGAGAACCAAGGGAATAAAACACTGATCTGTAAAAACCCTCCACTCAGGAGATCGGGGTGAAGGTGGAGATGGATGTCTTCAGCTTGCCGGGCCCAGCTGCAGCCTCGTTCCAATGTGATGTCACAGCTGGACAGCAAGGCCAGATGGTATCAGGGCGACGAGCTGGGGTGGAGCCAAACCTTCCCACCAGATCATCCGATCAGGGCGGAGGGAGGCGAGGGACGGAAAGTCCCTTGTGTTAGCAGCCTCCTGGATTATGCCGGCCAACGGCTGGGAGCGGTGTGGTCACCAACGTGGGAAGACCCGAGGTAGCTGAGCATCTGCTCGACCACTCTTCTTCCGTCACTACGCTCTCCAGGAGGGTAGGGGCAGCGAGGTTGTTTCCAGCATTGCCTTTCTCGGAGGAGTCATCTAATTCACTGCGTGACTCTGCATCAAAGAAAAGTGGTGGCATCATCCCGCGCATAGTGTCCCGCCACGGAAAAAAACACTCAGTGGAGCTGCTGCCCGCATCGTCTTTTTCGAAAGAATCATCCGATTCACTGTGAGGGAAAAAACGTTAGAAAAGGCGATGGTGTCGTCCAGCGAGTAGCGGCCCGCCACGGACAAACACTCAGCGGAGCTGCTGCCAACAATGCCTTTTTCGAGGGATTCATCCGATTCACCGTGAGGAAAACAAGTTAGAAAAGGCGATGGTGTCGTCCAGCGAGTAGTGGCCCGCCACGGACAAACACTCCTCGGCGCTTACCTTGAACAAGGCTGCTTGTCTCTGCTTCTCCTCGGGGAAGAATAGCTCACTGGGACGGCAGGAGGTTGGCGTGGCAAAGATCCAGGCATCCTTAGCAAAGGTTGTGCTGGTCAAAGCTGGACAGCTTTTCCTTCTTCGTTCTTCTGACATTGCTAGCTAGCTGGCTGAAGAAAAATGGGAGCCGATTACCCGGTCTCACCGTAATTTATATGGACCGGGGGTGAGGCCCACACAGCAGGTGGGCGTGAACTAAAGTTTTCAGTGCTGCGCGTGAAAGGATAAACCCACTAGCGATAGCCTTAAAGGGTGAAGCCTATATGAAATAGAACAAAACGTTTTAACAAAAAGAAACAGTCCAGAGGAACTGACTTAACTTTGTTGGATTTTTCTACCTGGATTATTGAGCATGAATCTGGACAAGAAGAAGATAGTATTCTTTGAGAAGATGTTGATTTTTAAAAGCCATTTGATAAATACTTATGTTTCACAAAAAGGTTAAATCATTTCATCTGGACAAGTTTCTTTAAGGGAGAAGCGTTTCGTCTTTCATCCAAAAGACTGTCATTCTGAGGCCTGCCAACCAGATCCGTCCCATAAATAGCAACTCCTTGATGTGCCTCAAGGCAACCTGTTGAATTCCAAGAAACCGGCTTCTAACACTTGTAAAAAAAAAGGAACCATCTGTTCAAAACAATCAATAATCATAATCAAATGTTTTAGGCCAGATGGCCAATTTGCTACTCACAGAAACAGCATGAGGAAAACCAAGGCCAAAATGGTTCAGAAAAAAAACTTTTTGGTTCAGTTTCTTGACTGCTGCCAAGCAGTTTTCTTTGAGGCCTCTTGCAAGCTGTATTCACGTCATTACTGTTTTTCAGTAAATTACACGAGGGATGCACTCTTCTGTCTGTCCAGTGAAGACGAGGCTGTAGCCAACATCCATGTAACTGTGCGTTAACATGTCACACGTTTTATACAGTTTTCTTCTCGTCCTTTGATTGATTAGTGAACTGTCTATGTAGTCTTTCTCTTATTTCAAAAATTTTAAAACTCTTGCAGTCCGAATTTATTTACACTTTGTTCAGCTTATCTGTGTATTTAAATTTAAAAAAATAATTATCCCCTTTCCATTCTCTGCAGGTGAAATCTTCTGGAATGCGTGTTTGTTCCTCGAAGCGCAAACGTTCGGAGCGTAAGGTGACCCGCATGGTGTCCATTGTGGTGGCGGTATTCGTTCTGTGCTGGCTGCCCTTCTACATCTTCAACGTCACCTCCGTCACCAGCTCCATAAAGCCCACCTCCGTCGTGAAGAGCACCTTCGACTTTGTGGTGGTGCTCGGCTACGCCAACAGCTGCGCCAACCCCATCCTGTATGCCTTCCTGTCGAACAACTTCAAGAAGAGCTTTCAGAACGTCCTGTGCTTGAAAAAGGTCACGGGCCTGGATGAGATCGAGCGCAGCGACAGCAGGGCGGACAGGAGCAGGATGGTTAACGAAGCCATGATCACCAACGCCAACCTGGAGACTCACGATGCTGCCCTGCTCAACGGCGAGCTGCAGACCAGCATTTGAGGGTGAAGCAGGGACATTCACGGGATAAAGATAAACTAAACTACAAGGCACTGCTTAAGCAAGTGCTCAGAAATGCAGTGGTAGATCGATGACGTAATGGGTGCTCGTGGACACAAGTAAAGTCTGAAGGAAAAACTGTTTCCTGAAGGTTTTCAGAAGTCAGGGGAAGGGCATTGACTCCAGCTAATGGGTTACTGAGTCAACCTCAACATGGTAACCCTGAATTAGAGCAAGCACATGTATATTTTACCCCTTGGCTTGTGTTGAAACCAAACATTTTTAAGGAACATCTTGTCACTGAGCGACTATTGAACCAAGAGGTTGACTCATATAGTCGACTGTTGAAGACCTGTCCAGGAGAGCGGTGAACAACACCAACCGCCATCTTTGCTCAACATGATGGATGCATTCGTAGAGAGATCCAGCACTGACTTTCCTGGACATAGAAGAACCGCAGAGGAAAACTTTATTTCCCTGTGGCCTTTCAATGGAGCAGATCTGAAACGATGACCCAAAGATGAAGTGTCACTGCATGATTAGTTTGGTTGTACTTTATCTTAAGAGCAAGGAAATGGGAACACTTCTATCTGCAGATAAACAAAAGATGCTTTTCTTTCTCCATCTGGCCTCTTGGTGGGAGAAGCTGTTGCATAAATACAAACCCAGCATCTTGGATTATTGATCGAATAGGAAATCCTCCCCACAGGCCCCCTAACCTTGCTCCTTCAGAACAGCTTGACTTTGTACATATGAAATGGATTGCTGTTAACCTTTGTGGGAACACACAATACATGTTCAATTTATGTTCAGAAGGGAGGGGATGTAAAGGCAAACTCAGCTTCTCCATTTTGTATCATTGAAACAAGCAGAGCGCAGCAAACCAGTATCTTTGTACGCTTCCCTGATTCTTACAGGAGAATCCCCACACACCCCAGACTCTGTGCTGCCGTGCAGAGTCTACATCAACTTTGTCAATGTTGTCATTTGGCAGGTTCCTGGGTTCATGACCTTTCATATTCACTTTTGATTTGGTTAAGGGAGATATCCAAACTTATAAAGCAGAACAGTGTGTCATGCATTCAAAGGGAGAGAGCCATAAATAAATTAAAAGAGACAACAAACAAGACAATGGAAGAAATAATATGCGTGAAACTAACAAAGATAATGTCTCAGTGTGTATGGGTATGCAATGTGGTGGGTGGGAGATAAAAACGGAGTTATTTGTCTCTGGGTGACTGTTACGCAACTAGCAGTGCTTTTATTATGATCATCAATAACATTTTATACTTTTCACATTACCACTAAATCTACACATTTCATTTCCGTGGTTTTCCGCAACATTAAGTTTACTGCATTTAGAATTAGAGTTATTCACACAGCTAGTTGTTTACGCTTTATAATTCAAGAAGATGACTACTAAAACACGGCATTTAGATTGGATTTGGATTTATCTAACACTCAGGTTTTAGCAGTTTACAGAATAAATACCAGCTAAAACATGCTCAACAAATAACACATAACTTACTTATAAAAAGCCAAATTAGTATAACATGAGGTACCAATTAGAGTGACAAAAACTTCAACTACCATATTTTTTGCTGTATAAGTCGTACCTTTTGCATGAGTTTGCAAGTCCTGCGGCTTATACACTGAAGTGACTAATATACGTTTTTCTCATATTTATAACTCAATTTTTGGCTGAGATCTGACAATTTCATTCATTCTGACACGGGAAATATTGAACATTAACATTTTCAGTTGCTAGAGTGCTCGAGTTATATGGCAAGTCAAGTGTCTCATTAATATGTACAAGTGGCTATTAATGAGACTCTTGGCTTGCCATACAGCCACCTTCATCTCGCTCCGGAACTCCTGGAGCAAACGTCAAATCAGCTGCATTTCGCCGCCCAGGCTAAATACAGCTGATTTGACCATTAAAATGCATTTATTAAGGAAATGCTAGGCTGAGACACACCTTTACTATAATTTAGAGCAAACAAATAATTGTTTTTAAATGTTAATCTTGTTAAATTTTTGTTAAAAATCCTCCCACGCACGCTCCAGCGGCCGCCATTTGGCAGCCAATCGATTTTTGGCACAACACCGACCCACATTTCCAGGTGGTCAGCGGTGACGCATAATAGATGCGACTTATGCGGCGAAGCGATATATTTATGTTTTTTTCCACTTTATTAGACATATTTGGACTGATGCGACATATACAACGGAAAGTACAGGAAAACATAAGCTTGTAGCAAAAACGGATGTTTTTAAGTGAGTAAAAACAACAGCAGTATGGTATTGGGTGTTTTTGTATAAAGACTATTTTGACCCTTGGTTATAAAAGAGGAAAATAAATTGATTTGAAGTAAAACGCACCAACATTCATCATCGTGTGTAGTTACATATATTTGACAGTAAAACTTCATTCTGTTTTTGTGTACTGTGTTGTCTACACATCTGTCTAGACACTCGTTACATTTTGTTCCATGGTCCCGAGGAAAAACATTAGTGAGGCAGACAGTAACTTCCTGAATTACTAACTGCATTTCTGTGATAAAAATAGGATACTGTATGTTGCTTAATTTTTAATTTATTGTTGTTTTGTTTTTGTGCATGAACTTGTTGCCATTTTTTTCTTCCCGCGGGTCGAGGTTAGGTCTCGCAAAACATAGCCTCGTCTAATAAATCAGAGAAACGGACGCCTCCCTTATCCACATCCACCCCCCCCCCCCAACCTGGAAAGGGGATAATTTAACCGCTTCACCGCACAACTAAATTAATGAACACAACACGACTGACTGACACATGAGAAAGAGAGAGAGAGAGGTTTGATGAGCACTCAAAGTTTTTTCACTTTTATTAAAAATATGTAAAAGTGAATTGAGAATATATCATGAATGTTCCAACCAGGGATCAAACCCACGGCCAACTGATCACATGACCAACGCTTCAACCATCGACCAATCACAGCCACACACATACTTACACACTCTCCACAGAACTAGTCATACAAGATCCATCCATCCATCCATTATCTTTACAGGGACACATGGACAGGTCTCAGTCCATCACAGAGACACATAGAGACAAACGAGACAAACAACCATTCACTCTCTCACTCACACCTAGAGACAATTTAGAGTTACCTATCAGTCTAACATGCATGTTTTTGGTCTGTGGGAGGAAACCGGAGTACCCGGAGAAAACCCACATAGCACGGAGAGAACATGCAAACTCCACCCAGAAAGGCCCCCGTCCGGGATTTGAACTGGAGACCTTAGAAAATGTTTCGTTTTTTTATCTGTCCTCAGTTTTCTGTTTTGGTCCCCTCTGTCTGCTCCAAATGGGCTCAGACAGAACCTCTCTACAACACAGAAGGTTCTGCTGCAGAAAGTTCTTCTGAGGTTCTTCTTCATCTTCCAGGAACACAGAAGGTTCCTGCATTTGAGCTCACGTCAGGTCAAGTGCTAATGGTCGTATGAATGAGCTAAAACCAGCTGAATGTGTCGGCAGAGCAGAAAATCTGACGCCCCAAGAGATATTCTACTGAAGCTGGCTGTTCACATCACTGACAATATGTTTTGATCTGCTTGATGAACGTGGCTCGCTGAACTTATATTTACTTGTCTTCCCAGAACTCCAGCAAGGCTCAGGCTGACCCAGTCTGAGGACCATGCAACCATTAAATCACAATAGTATTTTTTGTTTTGTTGCTTTCTTTCTCAAAAAGAATGGACTGAAATACAACCGTGCTTTGCTAATATTCAGAGGAACCGTTTCACCATTAATAAAAAGCACATATCAGATTAAAGTAGCTGAAGGAGTAACAAAGATCACTCTGACATCAGCTGTACAGGACGACAAGATACAGGAAAAAACTGTTACAGAAATCTGATTTTATGACAATTTAATCACATTAGATATCAGATCTGTTGCATAACACCCTCCAAAATGGACCTTTTGATAAAGTCAGACCTGGTTAATGGGATTAATGGTCAAACTTCAAAGTCTCTTTAGAGCAGCGATGAAACAAGTCCTATTCGCACGGGATTAGTATCACATGTAATAAATAAATTACTCCCCAACATCTACTTTTATGGCACATTCGTACGGGATAACCAAAGCCTGAGATTTAGCTGAAATTCACGGACATCTTCTGGATATGATGTTAACGTGCTGCGTATTGCGTAACATCCGCTAACATCCGACCGTTACGGGTCGATAGTCTTTTGCTGGTCTGGGACACTAAAGGTTATTTATGCACTCCAATGCAGCCTCCATTGCCAAAAGCAAATAAAAATGTGCCCATTTCTGTCCAAATCTCAGAGATGCCTATTCGCATTGGATTAGTATTATCACAGGACCTCGGAGTTCAGCAAAATATAGTAGGTAATTTGCGGGGGAATTTTTACTTTACAAATTACTGACATGGCCGATTCACACAGGATTAACAACACAGACAATCTCTGTAATTATTACAAATAGCATGTGGTCCCTAGGTAAAACTAATCCCGTGCGAATATGGTTTTAGTTGACCATTAGCTGATGTGTCAGTCGTGTTGGGCTCCATCATCCTCAGAGCTCACTCACAGAAGCAGACAAATGTTGTAAATGTTGGTTGTGAGAATCATGACACTCTCTGGGGGTGTATTTCAGTCACCGTGCATCACAGTTTCAAAGAACTCACAGTTGTGTTCAGATCGATGTGCATGTCGGAACAGTTTTTATGATTTGACCTCGTTGCTCAGAACGTGTCGTCCGGATGTTTATTTCATCATCAGAGTCGATGATCAGGCCGACCAGTTCCGGATCTGGGGGCTCATTGGTAACTTTAATCCAGGTTCGCTCAACATTTCTGCATTGGTGCATTCTGCGCCCCCCACAGTGAAGTCGTTTCAAATTCTCATCTTTTTTTGGCTTTTCGCTGCCTCAAGCCTACGGAGCACGACTCCTCTCCTGCCTCTCTCTATCTGGCGTTTCGTGGCTTCTTCCCTCCCTCTTCTGTTTGTGTGCTGCACCAACGCAGTTAGAGCTTATCCACAATCATCCTGGTGAAACGCCACACTTGTCATGGTCAAACGGTTAAATGGGCTTCGTGTACATAATGGAGAACCTTGATGTCCAGTAGATGTTGAAAGTGATTTGTGCCAAAGCCAGCACTCACGTAGCGCCAGAAAGGCTTTCGGGGCAACAAAATCATGTCTGTAGCTGCTTTCTCTGTTGTTTTATGATAAATAAATAAATAAGTAAAAACATAAAAAATAAAAAACATTAGGACTATTTAAGATGTACTTTCTGGGTACAGCTCAGCACCAAATGTAAAAAGTAATTAGTCCAGATTTCTGGAAGGTTCCTGTGACTACAGATGAGGAGACGAGGCAGAGGAACAGAAAACCTCCGCCTTCTTCTCTTAAGCTAATTTGTGAAGGGCTATAATGTGCACTCAGATGCACTGTTGAGTACAAACTGTGTGTATTTGTTGTACCTCTGCTTGTCCTTGCATGGGGGAGGCCTGCATCCCACCTGCTGTGTCTCCAACCGACAGCAGTGTCACCCA